GTGTGTGTGTATGTGTGTGTGTGTATATATATATATATATATATATATCTGTGGTAGATGGACATGATACTTTTATTTAATTTATTTATTTTTATGTGGTGATGAGGATTGGACTCAGTGCTTCACATACGAGGCAAGCTCTCTACCACTGAGCCACAACCCCAGCCTGATTTGTGTGTTTTAATTTACAGACATTTTAAAACTTATCTTTCACTGGGTGAAGATGAAAATCATTGACATATTCCAACTTTCTGGAATCTCATTATTCCCTTTCATTCCTACTCATATACTGGCACTTCTTTTCCAAGTTTGTCCTTCTTCATTGTCACATGCAGACAATAGCAATCCAAGCATGTGCTAGCATTTTGTTGGCCCAGCTCTGCCTAAAGCCACAAGCTCATTAGGGTTATTATCTGCCCTACAAATAATCACAGTGATTAGTTATCACATTTTATTGGATGCCATCTTTTAGCCTCCAATAGACATATTGCAGCCAGTACCATGTTTTAGGATTTGATACAGCAGCCCATAAGTCACCAACTCCTAAGATCTCATGATTATCTAGCGGTGGGAGTGGGAGGGCAGCTCTGAATTCTCCCGATTCTTGTGTCCCTGCTTTTTCTCTGGCACCCGTCTGTCAATTTGCGGCTTCACAGATGATTTCCACTACTCCTCCCAAATTCCATCTTTTTGGGGGGGGCACAAGGGATTTAACTCAGGGGTACTTGACCACTGAGCCACATACCAGCCCTATTTTTAGCTTTCGCTGAGGCTGGCTTTGAACTCACGATCCTTGTGCCTCTGCCTCCCAAGCAGCCAAATTCCATATTTATATAACTTTGTAATCTTAAAGGCTTTTCAAAGAAGTTGTTACTTTTTGATAATGTTACTAAATATTTCAGAATACTTGCCTTTCTGCCTTTTGTGTTTCAAACAATAAGGCTTTTAGAAGGAACAAACATTTTTATGTGTAGTTGATCTGTCTTTTTTACCATGTACTATTCTAGTCCTCTGTTTAGAACATAAAAATCATTTCCACAGCAACTAATTATACTGTAAGTCACAAATGCAGAATTACTACTGCTGGTAGGAAATTAGAGGCAACCATAATACAAATATTAAAAGCTCTTATTTCTGAAGGTCTCCCAAACACTAATAAGAGCTAATAAAATGCAGGGAAGACATACAAAATATCCAGTGTAGACATGTGCTCTTCAAGCTGTCTTTGTGCATGATCAGCCTGACATGAATCTGAATACAATTCTTTTCTGCCACGTGTATTATGCCTTTGTCAAAAAACAGTTGAGCATATTTGGTGAGTCTATTGCTGACTCCTCTTTTCTGTTCCATTGATCTATGTGTCTATCTCTCTGCCACACATTAAGTCTATCAGGAAGTAATTCCTCCCAGCTCATTTTTCGTCAAGATTGTTTTAGCTTTTCTAAGGTCTGTGCCTTTTCATACACACTTTAGAATAAGCTTTTCTGTATCTATGGACACCTTGCCTGAGTTTTAAATAAACTAATAAACCACATTACAAACCTACGGGTCAATTTAGGGAGAACTGACACATTCATATGTCAAATCTTCTGTACCATGAACACAATATCTCTCTTCTTTTTATTTTTTAAAATTTTTTTAGTTATTGATGGACCTTTATTTTATTTATTTATTTATATGTGGTGCTGAGAAGTGAACCCAGTGCCTCACACGTGTGAGGCAAGCCCTCTACCACTGAGTCACAACCCCAGCTCTACAATATATCTATTAATTTAATCTGTAGTTTTGTTCTACTTTTCAACTTTCTTTGTCTGGTTTGGCATCAGGATTAACACTAGCTTCACAAATGAATTGGGATCCTTCCTGTTCTGTTTTTTGGATTAGGTTGTATCACTTAACTTATCTTTAGATATTGGATAAGATCCTCCCATGAAGTCATTTGGACTTGGGGTTTTCTTTTTAGGAACTTTCAGTTATAAATTCAATTTCTTTAATAATTACAGGAATATTCAGGTTATCAGTTTCATTCGAGTTAGGCTTTGGTAGTTTGTGGTTGTCAAGAAACTGGTTTTTTGAAAACAATTTTGCTTCCAATATTCCCTTATCACCTTCTGAGACAAGAGCTGTGGGACAGTGGGAGGAGCTGCACAGGGAAACACCAGGCAGAGAGGAGGCACAGTTAGGAACTTGAACCTCACTTAGGTAAGAGGGTCCTCTTTTAAGATTGAGAAAAGGGTAGAGATCTGTGAGACAACAGAAATGTTTGGAGTGGCTGACGAGACCAGGTCCCTCTCAGGTTGATGACCTTAATGTCACATGAACTCAATCATTCCCACTTTACGACTTTCCCCAGTGCCTGGGCTGCAAGACTGGGAGGTGGCATGGGCATCACCCAGGACTAGAAACCAGCAACCATGGAGGAGAAGACAAAAGAACACTGAGTCCAAAGGGGGCAGCCATTGGGGCTGAGTGCCAAGGAGAGAGGGTCCATGCAGTTCTTCACCTGCTGTCTATCCCCAGGCCTGACTAGGTGTCCAGCACCATCAGGCATACACAGTCGGGGCCCTTAGAGCTCAGCATGGTGCAGAGGAGAGACAAATAACAACGACTGCAGCCCCACTGTGTGACAGGTACAGGGCGGGAGGTGTGGGGGGTAGGGCTGGACGGCTGAGCACAGGAGTAGGGCAGTGGGGACCAAGCATACGTCTGGGGTGCCCAGAGGTAGGGAGCTTAGGCCAGAGAGGACACAGCCAGGGCAGAAACCACTGGGTATGGAAGGAGAGAGTTTCAGAGGGTCCAGAGCAAGGCCAAGGAGGAAGGTGAAGGTTGGGACAGGAGAGGAAGTCCCTGAAGATGGCAGATGGCTGGACTTTGGTTGGAGCTTATGAGCTGCACTTGGCTCCTGATGGTTCTGTACTCCACAGAGTCATATCCATCATGTCCATCCAGGACCCCTGTTTTGGGCTTGGCAAATATTCCATTATTCCTTGGTTTTGCTGCTTTGCCTGATGTTCCAAACAAACACATTTCTACAACTATCCACACTTAAGTCCATCTTAGTGCACAGTAATTTTCTCACTCCCTACCACCTTCTCATAAAATATTTCCTGAATTTTATTATTCAAATGAAAGTCCTGTAGCGCTGGTATTTTTGGAAAATGCACAGGAAAAGTATGAACTCTGCACTATCCACTCATTTATTTGAGAAAACTTCCGTGAGCCCCCTGGCTTGGTAGAGCACATCAGGGAACCGAACTGGTACTCAGTGGATGACATGTGTGGACAGAGAGCAGCAGAGCTGGGGAAGGTCAGGATGGTGCCAGGGAAGCCCCCAGTACATGCCTAAGGGTAGGCTTAGATAAGGCTAGGGAGAGCTTCCAGAGCCCAGGGGAAGGAAAGGCCCCAGTGAGACAGGTGGCTGGTATACTGGGGCCCAGCCAGGGAGGACCAGAAAGTAGGTGGCCATGGGGCCAGAAAGCAGCCAGTATACCTGTCCTGGACAATGGGAGATGGCCTTGCCTCTGTGGAGCTCATATGCCTCCAGGAGGGCTGTGACAAAAAAGAGTGTGAGGAGAAAGCACAGGGCCCTATGTGGGGAGAGCCTTCCTGGAACTGACCTCTCTAATGATCCTGAGAAAAGCAAATAACAGGAGATAAGGTAGGAGAGGTGGGAGGAGGGCCACAGTGGGGCAGCCTGAAGGAGAGGACCAAGGTGAGGAAAGGGGGTACCTGAAGCTGCTCAGAGAAGGAACAGTGATGGCAGGCACAGCAAGCTTCCAACAGTAAGCCCACTCTGCCCTCCTCTTCCTCATAGCAAAATCCTAACTTTGTGCAGATAGTGATGTATCTGGGCCAATAAAACCTGAGGCCAACTGTCTCCAGTACTTTATGAGACAGACCAATTCAGGCATGGACAGCCAATGGAGCCCATCACTCCTGCCCACCTCACCCAGCCTTGACACTTGCTCTCCTTGGCCCCCGCCCCCAGCCCTGGGCTCCCCTTTCTTCCTGTGTGTATTTCCAACATTCCTATCACATTCTTCTCAGTGGTGAAGATCCATCAGTTATTTCAGAATTAGGAAGCTCTTGGCACCCTGGCTATCTACATCTTTTCAAAATTATTAACTACTAGAGAAAAACTGAATTTCTTTCTTATGAAAATAGCCTTGGAATAACTTCACACTTTTAAACTCATGTTAGCATTCCTAGATCTGATGATATTGTGGCTCAATATCTTACCACTGTGAAGCCAGGGTAGAAAACACATCATCTCTTTCAGATTCCTGGAATAACTTCAAAAGTTCTGGATCTCCAGATAAATGCGCAAGAATGCGCAATTCAATCTGTGAAAAGTCTGTGAGACAGAGCTTTGTGTCAAATGGGAATTCACCAACGATGCCCTGCTGTTGCTCACCCAGCCACCCTCAGATTGCTTTCCCTATCCAGGGTTGAACTTAACATCCCCACCTCCAAGGGCTAGACTCCTCTGGTCATATGATCACCCAAGTGTCACCTCTGTGTCAGCTGTCTGAAGACACCCTTTGCCTTCTGGGAGGCCAGCAAGGCCTCCCTCTAGGACAGGAGTGTTTATTTGTTACTTCATTCAGTGCACACATCATAGTTAGTAAGAGCCTTCTATGCAGGCTGTGCTCTTGGGTTGCATTAATGAGCAAAACAGCCAAGTTCCCTACCCCATGGAGCTCACATTCTCAAGGGGGACAGTTTGAGTTACTTGGTATGTCAGAAGGGGAGAAATGAAATGGAAAACACAGACCAAGGTAAAACGATTCGGTCTGGGCATGAGTGGTGTGTGTGTGCAGGCAAGTGCTAATGTGAACAGTCAGTTCCCCAATTTGTAGACACTTGTAGACCTAGACCTCACCAAGAAAGGGACGCTGAGCGATATGTGAGGAGGCAAAGCGGGAGCCCAGAGGCATCTGGGAAGTAGAGGAATAACATATGACCAGCAGCCAATGTGGCTGCCTGGAGTGAGCAAGGGGTGGGAGCTGAGATGAGGACTGAGGAAGGCAGCAGGTTGAGTAGGCCATGCAGGGTGTGTGCCATCTAGATATGGCAAAGTGCAGGGACCCTAGAAGCCAAAGACCTATTATTATTTACTGGGCACAAATTTGCCTTAGGATTTAATTGAAGAAATTAATTCTGTAAGTACCTTTGAATTATTCAATTTGTAAATATTTGAACTGCATGAAAACACAATGAGTGAGCTACAGTGGTACAGATTATCCTCCATTGTTGCTAGCACATACCTGCTGCTAGGAAGATGTGGCCCCTGGAGGAAACAAGCAGGGTTCTTGGGGAGATGGTGAAAGTCTCATCTTCTTTACCTAAATTGTCATTGCAAGAGCACATAGTGAGTTTGGTTGTGAGTGCACTTGAAGATATTCCTCAGTGTAGAGTTATTTTAATACCACCCAAAGTTAAGAGTTTAGATTCTTAATTCTTACAACTATTTTTATTAATGTAATTTAAAAGAACATTATTACATAAAGCTAGTGAGATTTTCTTGTTGAAATTTCCTGTTTTTTTTTCTAGAGGTTTTGACAAAGGGAAAAGCCAAATATTGATGCCTGAACATTCTAGTAAAAGTGCTCGAGACTCTGAGTTTCACTGTTAGATCTATGCAGTGCCATACAGTTGTGATTTTCCCACTGGAGAAATCTGAAAATGGCATAGGAGGCAGAGTGGCTGGTGGTCACCTTCCATGGACTCTGAGTGTAAACATTTACGTTTAGAAAGGGCCATTTGTGGTGCTTCATTGTGTGCCCACAGCCCAGGGGGAAGCACTGGCCCTGAAACAAAAGGTTGGGAATGGGCAACACAGCACCAATTTGTCCAATTGGAGCTTCCCTTTCTCAGAAATGTGAACATCAGCATTACAGTAGAATAACTCAAGAGAAAAAAATTTGTGTGTGCTTTTATAAATATTTCCAGTAATTTTCAGACTTTAATAAAAGCCAGTGCTACTGTATGTAAGTTCTTTTTTTCTTTATCAGGAAGTTGGTGGGAGAGAGATAGTAGGAGGGGAGTTATAATTACTATCTATTTTAACTTGTAAGCTGCTAAAAGGGAGGTCCCATATCACATCAGCTACTCTTTATTTTTTCAATGTATATTTAAATCCTGGTCATGCAAACAAAGGAGAACTTCAGCAAAGTGGAGCAGTTAGTTATAGAAAAACAATTATAAAACACTTCTAAGTTTTAAATATGTTACCCAAGATTTTAGTAAGGCAGAAAGAAATATTACCTTTAAAATTCAGAGGCTTAGCAATTTGAATTGAGTGCTTGGAAATACCCTGGATATTCTGTTAATAATAACAGGAAAATAGCTTTAGCTAAAATATATATTCTTAAATTAATATGTACCATTTAAGGGTATTTAAAATGCAATAATATTTTATTAAACATGAACAAAATAAGCAATGCCAATGTTTCCTGCCTATTAACATTTACTACGTTAATATGAAACACAGTTTTGGGGGAGATGCTACTAAGTACAGTCAGTAAATCTGAGAATAGCTCTTACTGGCTGTGTGAACCTTATTGTAATTACATGCAATATCTTTCACAACAACCCAAATCATGAAATCTATATATTGTTCTTTTATTTAAAAGCATACTTTAAGATGAAAATTCTGGCCTCTGCCCCTAGTCTCCCCTCCCCTGCTGCCCTACGCACTCGTTGGCTACCTCCATCTCAGCCCCTCTGTGGCTGGCAGTGGGTGAAGCTGCATCCCCTGCGAACCCCAGAGGGCCATTTGTCAAGCACCACTGCTCTGCACCTTTACACCTGGGGTAAAGAGCAGTAGCTTCTAGCCTGTTCCCACTATTCTAATCATGAGAATTTCTGTTACAATCCTTCTTGATCCTTGGCAGGACAGTAAATGACACCCACTTTGTCTAGACATGAAATCCTTTTGGTGCAACTTGGTCTTGACCCCCTGATTATATCTGATGAATTCTTCCACAGTGGGAACTGCTGAGCATCAAAGCCCTGCTGTCTTATAGGGACGCATTTTAATGTCCAAATGCTTCTTAGTAAGGGTGCAGTTAAAAGTGGTCTCAAGGAAATTTAGAAAATATGTTGGCTCTTAAGCAATTTGGGAAATGCAAATCAAAATTACATTGAGATTTCATCTCACTTCAGTTAAAATAGTAATCATTAAGAATACAAATAATAATAGATGCTGGTGAGGATTTGGGAGAAAAAGAAAAACTTTTATATTATTGGTGAGATTGTAAATTAAACCATCATGAAAACAAGTATAGAGGTGCTTCAAAAGACTAGGAATGGAACCACCATACAACCCAGTTAGCCCACTCTTTGTGGTATTTATCCGGAGAACCGAAATTAGCATAGTGATACATGCATACCATGTTTATAGCAGCACGATTCACAATAGTCAAGTTATGGAACCAGCCAATGTATTTATCCACAGATAAATTAATTAAGAAAATCTAAAAATGCAGTTTTTATATTTAAAAACATAAAAATGCAGGGTTTTTTTTACAGTTTTTACTTGGCCATGAAGAAGAATGAAATTATGCCATTTGAAGGAAAATGGATTGAATTTAAGAGCATTATACTATATTAAGTGAAAGTGGAGCCAGAATCAGAGAGTCAAGGGAAATATGTTTTCTCTCATGTGGGAAAACTAAAGAGAAAAAGCAAAAAACGGGGGCAGGGAGCTCATGAAATTAGAAGGGAGACCAGTAGAACAGAGGAAGGGAATCCTGGGAAAGGAGCAGGGGAAGAAAAGGGAAGGTACTGAGGGACAAAACTGATATTGATTTTTAGTTTTTTAAAATGTTACATGTCACAGTGAATCCCATTATTATGTATAATGATAATGTCCCAATTAAAAATATGTTGAACAGAATGAAAAAGAAAATACAAAATGTCAAAATTCATGGAATGTAATTGAAGCAGTACTTAGAGGGAAATTTCTAGCAATATATGTGTTGAAAAAGAATAAAGATCTCAAATAAAGATTCTACCTCTAGAAACTATGAAAAAAGAGTAAATTAATTCCAATATAAGTAAAATAAAAATAATAAAAGCTTAGATTAAATTAAAAATAGACATCAATAGAGAAAAATCAGTGAAACCCAGAACTGGTAACAGAACAATAAAGCTTAAAAACTCTAATTAAACTGTTCAAGGAAAATATAAGATTAAAAAAATGACCAGTTTCATGAATGAAAGGGAGTTATCACTACAGATTCTACAGAGATTAAGGACACTAAAAAAATATCATGAGCCATGACATGCTCATACATTGGGAAACTCAGAGGAAGATGGATGATTCCTTATGTGAATGACCAAAATTAATTCAAAATTCAAAATCTGAATAAACTACATATATTACAGATATTGAATTAATAGTTAAAAAGCCTTCCTAAAAAGAAAATTCCAGGCCCAGATGAAAGATAAGTCTTAATTCTTATAGTTTTTATGTTGCTTCAATACCCATTTTGAATTTGTTTACCTTTCTCATATCAGAAGCAGAACTTGGTCAACCTCGACAGTTTCCAGTTCTCTGCCTCCTTTCAGTTGTTCAAGATGCTTGACCCAAGCATCTACCTTATACAACCATTTCATGGGAGCTGCTTCCCTAGGAGGCAGCTAGATGTTTAACTCACCCCAGTGACCCTTACCCTCTTACAGACTGTGAAGATAGGCCACAGTGACCACCTCTGCTCCTAGCATGACTCCATAGAGCTTGTGCCTTCTTGCTCCAGACTCACCAATAAGAGATCTTTCCTTGGGGCATCTGCTTGGGTAATGCCCTGAACCCTAACAAAGGTTTCGACCGGCAAGTCTCTTTCCGTCTGTCTCCACCACTGCCAGTTGAACATTCCAAAATATATGAACAACTAAAAATGCCCTGAGCAATGAGAGGTACTTCTATTATGGTGGAGTGAGGAACATGTTTATTCTAAAAAGTCAGTATTTACTCATTGATTACCAATGCTGGACATCAGAAAAAAAGAAAAACACCAACCAACATCACTCATAAACAATGACAGAACAAACCTCAATCAAATAGTAGCAAACTGAGTTCAGCAACACAGAGAAAGAATTACATACCATGACCAAGTAGGAGTTATCTTGGGAATGCAAGATTGGCTTAAAATCCAGAAATAGCTAATGTGATAAGTCATATTCACAAAATAAAAGATAAAAGATAAATTATCTCAATAGAACAGAAGGAACAACAACAAAATCCAACATTCAGTCACATGAAAATATCTCTAAGAAAAGAAAGGAATTTTTTTGACCTAACAGCACCTGTGAGATTTACTCCCTATGAGTAACCATGGCAGCTAACGCTGCTGTACAAGGCAGGCCTGTCTCCCGTCTGTTAGCATGCCACACCAGCATCAAGCCAGACTGTGGCTGACAGGGAGGCTCTGGGAAGCACTGTGCTGCAAGGATCACTAGCGGACAGGAGCCCAACTCCTGATGCCTTTCCTGGAGCACACGACACGTTTGCCTTCATGAGAGCTGCTCCACAGTGAAAGAGGAATACATGTTTCCTATTTGCCCAGAGAAAGTAGTAAAGTTTAAATTTATTGTTCTCAAATGAGTTATGAAGGAAGACATTTAATAATTAAATGTCAACTTCTATGTTTTTATAATATAACAAATAAATGAAACCTCACAAAATGTCTAATTTATGTAGTGCACTTTGCTATATATGATGTGTACTTTGAACATCTTAAGAGAAAATATGTTTTATTCTTTGGCCACATGGCAAAAATGTCATCCTGAGAAAGTTTCATTTTTACCTTCCACAATGGCTGACAGAAATCAACCCAATCTGTAGGCACCACAAGCCTCAAAAAGCATTTCTCTGTTATCCTCAATGTCCATTCTGTTCCTGGCGGCTTGCCGAGGTGCAAATGGCAGATTTGGTATCCACTACAACAGAGCACTTCAGCCAGTGACCAGTGTCTTACTGTTGGCTGACAGGGTGTGGACATGCCATGCAAACCAGGCAAATGCCATGCACCCCAACTCAAGACTAGAGCCACACAAAATCACTGAAGCAGAGAAAGTGTCTTCAGTCCGTGTCCCTCTACGAAGTGCCTCCAACATGTCTAGAGACCAGAGCTATTAAAATTAAATAATCCGCTCTTAAAAATAGAACCAGATTTTGTTGTATGTGTTAAGAATACTACCAAAATTGTCTATCATGTTCAGAATTTTTTCAACAAAAATGCATTTTTATTTTTAACAGTTTTAGAGAATTGTTGTGAAGTCAGTTCAGAGTTCTGACTACCCCAAAGAGTTCCCTCATCCTTGCCACGTTACAGTGAACTAAACTTGGCACTTTTTCCAGATCCCATCATTTTTACAGGATGCCCTTTTCTGCTTAACCACATGACATTTGGTCATCACACCCCTCAGGTTCCTCCCAGCTGCGACAGCTTCTCAGACTTGCCTTGCTTTTTGAGGATTGGTCAGGCAAAGTGTCCCTCGGTTTGGAGCTGTTGTGATTTTTTTCTCATAGTGATGGTGGGATCATGGGTTATTTGGAGGAAGACCACAGAAGGAAGGTGCCATCTCATCATGTCACATTAAGTGAACACACTATTGACAAGACCTGTGGCCATTGACATTGATCACCAGGATGAGGCAGTTCTCTAGGCCTCTCCAGCATAAAGTGGCTTTTTTATTTTCCCCTTTCCTACACTGTTCACTTGGCAAGCAGGTCACTAAGCAGGGCCCACGCTTAAGGTGTCACACAAAGCATTTTTTTTTGTGTCTGATGAAAGACAAAGAGAAAGAAGGGTGTGTTTGCCACAATTAATGACAAACCAGTACTGATACATTATAATGAACAAAAGTGAGATTTCACTTAAATCTCCTTTGTTTTTAACTAATGTCCTTTTTTCTTTCTTTCTTTTTTTTTTTTTTTTTGTTCCAGGATCCCAGCGAGGTCGCCAAGCTGCATTGAATCATAACCTCTTCCAGGACTCCTTTTAGCTGTGGTACTTTATCAGACATCTTTTTTTTTTTCCACAAAGACCTTGACAGTTTTGAGGAGCACTGGGCAGGTATTTTGTAGAGTGTCCTCACTTGGTATTTGTCTGAGTTTCTCTCCTGATTACACTGGGGCTCCGGGACTGGGGAGAAAGAACACAACTGTAAGGTGCCTGCCATGCTCATCTCGTCACATCAAGGGCACACTGTCAACGGGGTCCATCACTTTGGATGTCGAACTCGATAGCTGGGCCAAGCTGGTTTCTGACAGGTTTCCCCTGTGTGAAGCTATTATTTCTCACTCTTTCCATACTG